CAGTCGTCATTTACTCCCGACATCTGAGCCGCTGAACTTGCAGTGGATTACATTTGTTTCTGAAGGGAATGCGCCCCCGATCTACATAAAAGTGTCTATGTTCGCATGAATCATTCATGATCCAGCCTCATCTACAGAAGTGAGTAAAATGTTTTGTAATGAATCTTTGCAAATCGCCTTTCCTAATAATGTGCTAATTAGCAAGTTTCAGATGAATGTGGCTAAAGTAAACAGTCTCTCTGAGAGCAGCTCGGAAGAGAGGGGCAGGGTCAGCATAGCTCATTAACATTTAAAGGAAAATGCTACAAAAACGGCTTGATCTGAAAAGAGCTGTTTTTGACAGGGTAAAAAAAGGTGTTGTACACTACCATTGAGAAATTTTAACCAAACTATGTTACAGACTTTTCATTAAGACCCTAAAGAATCATATCAACTTGTGGAAAATGGACATCCTATGACCCCTTTAATTAATTATTTGTCAATGCTCCTTTTCTTGTCAAAATGCATTGATTTAAATGTCAATTATTTCCTTACTCCCCTTGCGTTCATGTGGCTTTAGTGAACTAGAGTGCATAATTAGACTACAAATGGACTACATTTGATGTGATTTATTATTTAGTTGTTTTGGAAGCTCAGCAGACCCTGATCACCATTCACTTTCATTATGTATAATTTATTATTTTTGTTTATCTTCGTAATGAAGTCATGTTTGGGACAACATGTGGGTGAGTAAACATACAAAACTTACTAACCAAGGTGTAATAGTTGTTTCTAAGAGGCATACTTCAAACCGGGCTTAACTTGGAAAATAGCATTTGCTCAAAAGACATTTCCTGTTCTTTGAACGGTGGGTATCCTGTCTTGCAGGGGCACCTGTGCATGCTTTCTTTAAATAAGCGTTCCTTTTGCTTCATTTTAAAGGTCAGAAACCTCAGTTAATCAGGGCAGCGTGGGCCAGGACAGCTTGCAGCTTTCTCTCTGGTCATTTACTGATCTGATAGGACCGTGTGTCCGTACAGTAAGAGCAGTGTTGAGAACAGGGCTAAATCGCAGTGGCAGGCCCTCTGCTTCCGACGGTCCGTCCGCCCCCACCTGCGCCCGAGCCGTGAGTCTACATTCATCCATTACTTAATAACCGCTCGTCTCTGTGCCACCAGCTAGGATGTATGGCAGTGCAGATATATGACGTGCTCAAAGACTCTGACCTTGTCACTCATGCTGTCAGCCCACTGATCAATTCATGGAGGGAAAGAGAGCCCGAGAGTCATTTGGTGAAGCAGCATTCGGTCTGGGTATGTGCTCAACAGCTCCACACATGGAGTGCTTCCACTCGGAATGAGGATAGATCTTATTTTGAGGACGTGTTGTGCGTCACAAGCTGTACCGGCCTTCGCGTAATTTAAAGCTGTAATTCTTCCTAGAATAAGAGGATTTTTTTGGGGTGTCAGAAGCAGGACAGAGAGCCAATCTGCGTGATGAGATGCGACTTGTTTAACAGTTACTTGATCTTAATAATATCGGTTTCTTTCTTCGTTTTATGCTTTAAATATGAAAAACAACCCGTTTACGTAACATGCAGTTTCGCACAATGGCACTTCCTAAGAAATGAGTGTTCAGTCAACATACATTCTTGCCAATGCAAAGCACACACTGTCCTCTCCCACTCACCCCATTTATGACTAAAATAGACTCGGTGTAAGTGGAAGATTATAGAAGACTTAACTCATATATTTTATTTTTCATTTCCAGGGTATTTCCTGTGCTGACTTAAGAGCGACTGTAAGGAGGAGGTTTGCTTTAATCCTTTCAACGTGGCAAGAGCTTCTTTCATCTGGTATTTTGTGGTCCTAAAACTCTGAGCTATAGTTCAGTAAGAGGAATTACAAATTTCTTCATAGCTTCAACATCCTGGGGTGCGTTTCTCAAAAGCAACTATGGTCGCAAGTTCCGTCGTTACCTATAGAGTTCAATGAAACTAACGACCATAGTTAGCTAACAATGCTTTTGGGAAACGCAACCCTGGATGTTTAAAACTGTTTATGATGCTATTTTTTTGGTATTTTGTGATCTTAAGATGAGCTGAGAATCTAGGAAATCAGAAAACATTTGTGGTTTGTCCAAATATATATATATGCAAATTATCATTCAAAGGGATGTCTTTTTTTTTTTTTCTTTAAAAAAATGCATAAAATGCATAAGTCTCATGCTCCTGGTAAAATGGTAATATTGTGAAATATTACAGTTTAGAAATAATTTTCTATTTTAATATATTTGAAAGTGTAATTTAAATAGCTGTATATAAATAGAAAAACTGAATTTTATCTTTATTTAACAATAGAAAGTCCAAAAGAAAAGCAGTTTTTAGATTTTTTTTTTTAGTCAATGTGAAAGTGTTTAATAAAAGTATTTAATGCTTCCTTGCTGAATATATTTAAAATTATATTTTTAGCAAATAAAATCTTACTAAAATCTTATACATCAAACTTTGAATGGTAGTGTATATACATATATATTTGGACAACCCAGATGTTTAATTTTTTTTGTCATTTGTTTGTTTGTAGCTTTATAGTGTATTTTTCACTTTCAAATAAAGATGCTTCATATTTTAAGTGGTGAATGATTTGTATGACATAGACAGGCTAATAATTCTACATTTATCTACGAATACACTCAACCTTAAGTAGCTAGTAGAATCACATTGAAAAAAAGCTTTTTGGATTAATACTGTTACAGCCCTTCAGTTCATTACATGCATGTAACATTTCAAAATAATGTACTGCAATCTCCATAGTGGCATCTCACCTGTTACTCACCACTTGTGTTTTTATGTTCTGTGTGACGTTAATGCCTGTGTAAATGTCAATGATGCTGGCTTCCTATAAACCTGTGTCTGCTGTGATCACTAGCGCTTTTAATGGGTGATAATGAGGTTTACATGTTTGCAGTTACTTGTAAAAGGCATGTAGACTCATTTATTTCTGCTGATTCATGTTCAAAATACAAAGTCATGTTTGCATTTAGGTGCAATATAATATGTAATTTACATAATGATAAGCAATATACAATGTACAGTATATCTCAAGCACTTTGTAATATTGTCCAACATTATTGTCACAAAACGTGGGTAAGCCTCTTGGTTGAAGTGCTACAGATCATCGTTTCCCACCAAGTCAGGAGAACATACTTTTGCACGTAGTATACAGTGAGCATCTGGCATTATGTGTGTGGTAAATATTGGTAATACTACCAAAGTATAGCATTTCACGTCATGAGAAAACTCTGGCAAAGTGCGAGGATGCAACCAAACCAGCCGAACAGAAATTGCTCTTTACAATGGCCTTCTTTTACTTCATTGAGAATAACTCAATACTAATTAGCAGGATTTGTAATATTTCTTTCATTTATACACATTTGAAAAACAAAGGTTCCAAAAGAGGGGTTTCACAGCCATGCCTTAGAAGAACCTTCTAAAGCTTTCAGTGAACCGTTCTAAACAGAACCTTTTCGTTCTTAGTGTGAAGAACATTTTAATCGTCTAAAGAACCACTATAAAGGTTCCATGGATGTTAAACGTTCTTCGTGGAACCACAGATGCCAATTAAGAACCTTTGTTTTTAAAGAGTCTAACTCTAAATAGGAGGCCAATAACTGTAAACACTCAAAGGGCACAAGTCAATTGTAGATTGATTGGTTTCTCAATTTGGTTACATGTGAACCACCCTGACTGATCAGCGTTCTAAAGGTCCTGGTAGGTCTGTTGTGTGACTCTTGCATGCGGTTCCTGGTTCTGAAATGATCCAGAGGTGATGGAGACAGCAGCAGGTCACCAGAAACTCTTCTGGTGAACAGATAGATGCCACTCTTAAAAATAAAGGTTCCACATAACACTGAGGCCACACGTGAACCTTTTAGAACTTTTTTTTCTGTTGTTCTTCATGTTGGAATGCAGAAACCAACAGCCTGATGCCCTGATCTGAAGAACCTTTTTTTTTTTTTTTTTTTAAATCTCCAAAGAACCTCAGCCAACTCAAGAATGAGATGGAGGTTCTCTGCAGTGGCAAGGAACCACTGAAGAACCTTTATTTCTAAGAGTGTGGGTCAGCAGGAGGCATCGGTGAATGTCATATGCTTTAGCGAGAGTTTGGGGGTGTGAAAGAGTGCATTGAGCTTGTTCTTTACTCGCAGATTGGAAGCATCATCATTGAGCTTCAGCTACTTCCCAGCCTCATCTAGATATTTGCGGTTCAGTCCCGCCTGTTCCCTTTGATTCTCGTTTCGCGCCATTTCGATCATGTTTCTCAGCAGGTGGAAGGTGAGGTCGATGGAGATCGGAGGATCGTCGTTCCGTTTGGAAAACTCTGTGAGCTCCTCTAAGCTGTTGTCCTCGTGAGGAGAGCGCAGCTGCGCCGTGGGGAAGTGCGGGAGATGCAGGACACCGCCTGCCTTCTGCACTCCGAGGTTTCTTTGCAAATACTGAAGGAGTTTTTCGCCCACGAGGTAGGACATGGCGTCGTCTCTTGCCCTGTTTAACAGCAAGTCGTCTAGCTGGCTGTTCATGAGGCTCAGGTCGCGGGGTCGACAGGTGCTCAGCGGGATGTGGGTGGTCAGTAAGACTGAAGTTATGAGCAGGACCAAAGGGACGGGCTTCATGCTGGACACAGCAGCGCGCTTCCTGAGGGAAACAGCCAGGTGTGTTACTACAAACCAAAGGTTTAGTACACAACTACTCTGCAAAAGTTTCTGTTAAGTGTTCATTTAAAATACAAATTTGAGATTATGAAATGAGTTATTTTTATATTGCGTAAAATCAGAAAAGTATACGTTTATATAGGTTGCAGGCCTAGTGCGGATATAAATGACAAAATTCAAATGAAACTTTTTAAATTAAGTATACAAAAAAATGAGTAGCCTACATATATTTAGTATTTTGGTATATGCAGTATTTAAGTAAACCAATATAAAAGTGCTCATAAAAATGACAAATTGACATTATGAAATTAGTTGTTTCGTGTATTTTTGTTAAATTTAAGTAAAATATATTGAATGTGTAATATGTTTTTTAAATTATGTATATAAATAAAAAGTAGCCTAAATGTATTTTTAGTAAATATTACCAAATAGTGCTAAAATAAATAGCAAAACTGATATATGTATATTTTTAAGTATCTATATTAAAACTTTATATAAAAGTGCTAATGTAAATGTACAGGATTTTAAAATCGTATTTTGATTTATTCGAATACAAAAGTACTAGTATGAATTATAAAATGAATAAACAATTATCTTTTAAAATGATTAATACTAGTTACAAAATTAAGAGTTAATGTACATAGAAAATAGACTTTTGTATTTTATGTGCAATATTAAATTATTGATGTAATGTCAATATATATATATATAAATGTATAAATCGTGCATCAGCTAAAATCGGTGATAAGTTAAAAGAATTTACATCTGAACTTATAAAGCAAATAAACATCAAATAAATTATTGAATAAAAGTAAAACACAAACATGATCACTGTTCTACGGTTAAATAACTAAAATAGTCATGCCACTATCGTAATAACACTTTTTTAAAATAAAAATGCCTAAAAATAAACAACGGAATTAATGCTTATCTACTTTAAGAGCTACATAAACCGAATCTGGAAATCAGACGCCATGTACTCCTGACTGAACAATCAGCTAACTCGATGAACAAGAATGACAGTCCTGTACAATATCAACACAACACACATTCTCATGCTCGCAGCTAAGCTTGAATGGCCTCAGTCAAGAAGTTGAAAGCAAGTCATACAAGGTAACTTACTCGGTCGTCTTCTGTTGCTTCAAAAGTGCTTGTAAGGAAGAGTGTTTGCAGACAGACTGGAGTGAAGCTCCTGGAGCTCAGTGGTTATATACATCACACACCGCTCCACTGACGTCAGTCGAGCTGCAGAAACGGCTTGTAAATGAGGCAATTCTGAACTGAAACGAAGGATGGAGTGAAGGAGCCGTTTCCGAAGGACAACGTGAGACGGTTCTTTATCTCTCCAAAGTTTTCAGTTAATAATCTTGTTGGTGTTGCAAAGTCATAAACCTGGTTTCAAAGACAATATATCCAGTTGTAACGGACAGGTAATCAGTTAATGTTTTGATTGGTCCTTTGACTGTTAAATAACTTGGTTTTTTTTAAACGCACCTGAGCAAAATGAGCTAAGGAGCTGCTGTCGTGATGGATTTCTGCATGGCTGCTCATCTGTGGTCTGGAGGAGAGCAGAAGCGAGACGGGCACACGAAAGCCTCCGTCTCTGTCCAAGGTGCTGAAATTCGTCAAGATGCAGCCAGACATCATTCATTGGCTGGCTCATATATATATATATATATACGACTGCAACAATAATGGGAACTGTAAATGTTGTACATATATTTTTATTAAATTATTTCTGTTTCATATCTTACACTTCAATATGGCTGTGGTTTGTTATTAGGTAGTACACACAAAAATGATTAGAAAATAATCTGTCTAGAATTAATGTATATGAGCTAAATTCACAGTATTAGAAGTACTTTTGCTAACTTCAAGCTATAATACTGACATTAATATTAGTAAAAATACACCATGTCATGAATTCAAATGCTTTCTGACTAAATTATGTTTTAAAGAGTGGCTGAGCAAAACGCATTCAGCAGCCAGATGCAGAGGTTTAATCACTGTTGACTATTGTTTCTGGCTAGCCGTCACTTCTCCAGAGTGATGAAGCATTAGCTGGACGTGCAGAGATATTTATATAAGCCTGACACGCTCTCGAAGGCTTTACCTTCCTGCTCAGTGTGAAGAAACAAATATATATATATATATTCCAAGGTGCTGAAATTCGTCAAGATGCAGCCAGACATCATTCATTGGCTGGCTCATATATATATATATATATACGACTGCAACAATAATGGGAACTGTAAATGTTGTACATATATTTTTATTAAATTATTTGTTTCATATCTTACACTTCAATATGGCTGTGGTTTGTTATTAGGTAGTACACACAAAAATGATTAGAAAATAATCTGTCTAGAATTAATGTATATGAGCTAAATTCACAGTATTAGAAGTACTTTTGCTAACTTCAAGCTATAATACTGACATTAATATTAGTAAAAATACACCATGTCATGAATTCAAATGCTTTCTGACTAAATTATGTTTTAAAGAGTGGCTGAGCAAAACGCATTCAGCATGGATTTCTGCATGGCTGCTCATCTGTGGTCTGGAGGAGAGCAGAAGCGAGACGGGCACACGAAAGCCTCCGTCTCTGTCCAAGGTGCTGAAATTCGTCAAGATGCAGCCAGACATCATTCATTGGCTGGCTCATATATATATATATATATACGACTGCAACAATAATGGGAACTGTAAATGTTGTACATATATTTTTATTAAATTATTTCTGTTTCATATCTTACACTTCAATATGGCTGTGGTTTGTTATTAGGTAGTACACACAAAAATGATTAGAAAATAATCTGTCTAGAATTAATGTATATGAGCTAAATTCACAGTATTAGAAGTACTTTTGCTAACTTCAAGCTATAATACTGACATTAATATTAGTAAAAATACACCATGTCATGAATTCAAATGCTTTCTGACTAAATTATGTTTTAAAGAGTGGCTGAGCAAAACGCATTCAGCAGCCAGATGCAGAGGTTTAATCACTGTTGACTATTGTTTCTGGCTAGCCGTCACTTCTCCAGAGTGATGAAGCATTAGCTGGACGTGCAGAGATATTTATATAAGCCTGACACGCTCTCGAAGGCTTTACCTTCCTGCTCAGTGTGAAGAAACAAATATATATATATATATGTATAGAGTCTAATAACAGTAGGTGTGAAGATTTTTTTGGAAGGATGACAGTTAGCAGATACACCACTAGTTGTCCAGTCATAGAGCTGATCTGCAGACTGAAGCTGTGAATTGCAGTCAAGCTGAGGAACAGCCGCCCTACATCCTATTGGCAAGGGCAGCAAAGAACAGGGTCTATTGGTTCAACACTGTGCTAGAAAAAATCAGTAAATTCAGGCCAAGATTTCAATGTCAGCCGTTTCCTCTGAAATACAGACCATCTACACCAATTTCACCAGTCCATAAATGTGTTAAAGCACATGACATAAGGATAAGTTAATAATGGGTTAACAAGATTCTTCATAGAAATCGGAAAGTAAGACATATTTGATAGATTTACTGTTGGATAAAATACTTTGGAGAGATTCAGGTATGAGTGATGTTTTTATGACGAACATAGGGCCTAGATCATGGAAAGGCTTGCCCCTTGAAATTAGTCACAACTAATAAATCGTTTTAAAGCTTGGTTATAAACATTTGTATTATTTGGCTTTTAATTTAAAGTGTTGATGTCTTGTGTGTTGTTTTAACGTGATGCATTATTTTTAAATATTTTTTATGTCCTTTGAATTTTTCATGATGTTTCAGTACTTGGAGTTGTAAAATGCATTAAAAATAAAGGGAATGAATGGTCTGGCATCTGTGAAAGATGTATTTTATACACATTATTGTATTGCAATGCCCTAGTAGAAGATGTAACGCTCATAACTTCACTTCCGTCAATCACGTTCCTGAACTTAATTAGTGACCACAGAAGACACCAAAAATGACTCAAAATGCAGCCACATCCTGTAACAAACAGGCCTGCTGTTTTAAGTGAGCAACACAACATAATTCACCATCTAAACAGTGCTAAATATAGGCATATAAATCAAATGTATTTCTTTACAGAACCTATAATCACAAATATTGAAATAGCGTTAATAAAAGGTTAATAAAATGTCAGAGGTCTGAATTACGTTATTGTCAGCTTTGACCTTTGTTGTGCAAACTTCATCTGTAAGCTTTGTGCGCCTATGTGTTACTGTCTGTTACTACATTTATTTCATAAAACTACAAACAAAAATGTTTCTGTGTGTGAGGTAGTGGTCAATCTGGAACATCTCATTACATCTTATTGGCTTTCCAGGAGAGGTAAGAGTTCCAGGCAACAGCCACAATCTGAACAACAGCCAATCTGAAAAACGCAAGCATGAACATATTACTGTATTAGAAAGCATGTATTTATAATGAATGTGACCAAATGCAAATATCACATTCGTGTCTTAAAACATGAATACAGAAAACAATACAAATCCAGATGGTTTCCAGGTGTGTGCGTGCGTGTATAGATATAGATATAGATACAGATAGACCGACTGACTCTAGTTGTTAATCCCAGTGTCGCCGTTCAGGTGCCAGAAAGCAGTAGCATCAAACAACGCACAAACAAAAAAATCTGCTTTAAAAACTCCCAATAGTCAAAATTAAAACGAGAGCCTAATTAAAAAGATATCTCGCTTCGTTCCCTTTAATAAGCTTTCATAATGCTGCTGTGCCACACACTGTGTTGCAGAGGCACGTCCTGTACGTTCTTTTCCCAGTGACGCCCTTAAATCGTCAGCGCTGCTGGATTAGTGCCCTGCTGCAATGGATGCATTATCATTATCAATGATCACTTGACTTTTGAGGCAAAAAAGGGTGTTTTTTTATAACCAGAGCTTTACCTGTGATGGAGAGGGATGAAATAAAAATTGGCGATCTGCACCGGAGGCCAAAGCTGGAGAAATGAAGAGACGTTGCATTAAATAGAACATTACTGAATGAACTGGAGAAAGAAAAAGAAAAGAGTGTCAAGCACAGCAGGAAAACACTTACATAGTAATTGGAGATCAAGGCATCCATGTAGTCCTATTGAGATGTGGAAAATGCAGAGTAAATATTCATTTTTAATAATAAGAAGAAGAATTTTATTAATATTATTTTAATATATAAAACCACCCACAAAACCCATTCTGGCAGAACACACATTTTATTCAGTACAAATTTTTTTTTAGTTCAAATGAATTATTTTCAGGCAAAGTTTCATAACTAGACTTTGAACTGAACATAATGAAATATATGAAGTGTTTCTGACCCTGCCGCTTGTTCCTATCCAATGTTCCTTGTAATATTTTGAGCAAATTGACATTTCTTCAAGCATAAGCTGAAGGACTACGTGAGTACCTTAATACCAAATTTTGATTCATATAATTTTCATGTAATTAAAATGAATCATGCTGTTGCAAAGAAGACCCATATCAGAACCATGACAGCCGCTTTTAAAAGGAACCTACCAGAACAAAAAAAATACCCCTGTATATTATATTATTTACTTTCTAGTCATCAAAGAATCCTGAAAAAATGTACATGGTTTTCACAACAATATTAAAAAACATAACTGCTTTCAACATTGGAGTTTAGGATAATGTCTACTAAAAATTCTGACATCAAAGGAATAAGTTACATTTTAAAATAAAACGGAGTTACTTTAAATTGTAATATTTCACAATATCACTGTTTTTACTGTATCATTTATATGTGACCCTGGACCACAAAACCAGTCTTAAGTCGCTTGGGTATATTTATAGCAATAGCCAAAAAAACATTGTATGGATCAAAATTATCGATTTTTTTAATGCCAAAAATCATTAGGATATTAAGTAAAGATCATGTTCCATGAAGATATTTTGTAAATTTCCTACCGTACTTAATTTTTGATTAGTAATATGCATTGCTAAGAACTTCATTTGGACAACTTTAAAGGTGATTTTCTCAATATTTTGATTTTTTTGCACCCTCAGATTCCAGAATTTCAAATAGTTGTATCTCGGCCAAATATTGTCCTCTCCTAACAAACCATACATCAATAGCTATGTTTCCATCCAAACATGCGAATTTAACATATGCGCAAAACTGGAATATCGCATAAAACATTTGCGAATAAAGCACCGTTTCCATCCAACGAGTCAAAGAGAACAAAATTGTCACTTCCTGATAAAC